ACACATACTCACACAGACGCACACACAAACACACAGGGGAGGAGGATTTGGGTGTCTGGACGCGGTCATGCAGATAAACAGGATGACACTTGTAAATTGTGATTACGTAATGACTGGAGGGTGCCCTGGTCCCCGCTCCCATGGGTGCTCCCCGTGCGCCCGCATTCTGCCCTGGGGCGGGGAGAGCGAGGAGTGTCGGCTCTGATTAAAGCCCACTTTGCTGAGGTCCGAACAGTCACTGATGAGCTGGAGTGGCCCCTGGCTGTGCGTCAAGGCCGGGACTGACCCAGAGAAAAGGACGTGTGATTGTTGCGAGGAAGAAATATGACATATGCATTGTACATAGTGGGTATTTTATAGGACTCGGCACAACATCAAACGTAAATTAACATTGAATTAAAGCTGGTATCAAGTGCTTACAGTCCATCCCATTTAAAACTCTCAAAAATATGTTACAAAATGCATTAAAAGCTTGTAGGAATGTAATAAATTGAATAGAAACCAGTGAGGTGGGAGTCCATCGATGATTCAGTTAGACAACAGGTGCTTATCAAAGACCAACAGAGAAATAATAAGAAACAGTAATATGATTTATTTTCATTCTCTGTACTCCTTCTTTCTCTTCTTTCTATTGCTGTGAACATTGGCTTTGACTGATACGTGGTTTTGGCCTGTAATATTGAATTGAATTATTGGTAATTCAATAATCTTTGTGGTTTGTGCCAAGCAAATCAAGCAAAAAAAAGGTGTTCTGCTTGATTGGCCTCTCAGGAGGTGGAGGTGAGAGACATAAATGTAGCTACAGCTGCCTAAAGGCATGCTGACATTCATGGCTGCAACACAGGGCCACCATCCTCCACCAAAAAGACGACTGTGGTCAAAGGAACGTTTTTGTGACAATTGTGAACTCATCCTGCAAAGACTTTGGTTTAACTTGTCTATCCTCACAGGTTTGCTATTCCTTTAGTTCGTGACCAGCTTGAACCTCACAGATATCATTAATTATTTTGTCTTTTAAATCAACCAGTAAAATTAAATGTTTTTTTGATTAATCCCGGACACAAATAATTTTTTCTCTCAAATTCTCTATTTTTTTTGTTCAGTTTATCAAGCTTTTGTGCAGTATCTCTCTATTGTCATAATCACAACAAATGTGTTCCTTCTGTGTGTCATAATTCACTGCTCTGTGTTGAAGTTAATATCATTTTGTGACGACATTCTCTCTGTTTCTCACTTAGTCCTTTCTGCTATTAATAAAACCAGGTCTTTATTATTTTACAACACATTTGACAAGTGGATTTATGCTTTTCCCTGAGTCTGTGCACATGATCCTGGACGGGACAGGAGGGGGCAGAAAGTGCAGGTCTGATTTATCTGTGTGTCTGCGGGAATAGAAAACACATGCAGAAAAAGATCATTTTTACATGATTAAGAAGCAGTTTTTTGTAGTCTATGGTTAGCTGTAATAAAAGGCATTGTTGAACGCATATAACTCAACATTTTTTTGCCCTTTTTTGTTTCTTTGTTTGTGTTGCTGTAGTTCATTCTGCCTTACATTTGATCGTTTCATACTACAATTTTGTACAAAAGAAATATCAACAAAATATGTACGTATATTTTAAAATACATTTCAGGTTGCAATCAAAAACTATTGTTCAGACTCAATATGTATGCATTTTATTTTCACTATTTGTTACGTTTTAGAGTAAGTTATGCTGAGTTCTAGTGTAGAGAAGTTAGTTTTTTGAAAGAGTATTGAACTTGGCTGGGGATTTTTGGGATGATTAATGTTGTGTCCATTGGGTTTATAGAATTTACTTCAATAATAACTTTAAATTAAAAAGTAGAACAATTAATATTTATCCAAATGTGTGTCTATCCTTTTTTTCTGTTCAATCTCTATCTTTAGTGCACCTTAAGGACAGACCATCTGCCTATCCCACCTTAAGGCCGGGATGCCTCTGTTAAGTCCCAGTGGGCTCTGGTGGATTTCCACAGAGCCCCGGAGCTCGTTCAAGTCCACTGCTCTGAACCAGTTAGGATGTGAATTGTGAATTATCTGCCTGAAATGGGGCTGAGTAGGTGATGAGAGCGGGTGGGATCGAGCCAGGACTTTTGGAGAGTGCCCTGTCCACCAGATGCATTTATAAGGGAAAAAATATGCTTATAATAGAAATGTGTGTGTTTGAATTCATATGGACATCTTGCTAATTTTGTTAACTGCGATGAAGTACAGTTTCTTGCATTGATTTTGTAACGTGAGGCAAAAGCAGGAAACATGATGCGTTTAATTGGACTATGGAAATTGTGCTGCTGTAGTTAAATGTGTGATTACTTTTGCCTGTAGTGTGCTTATATTGTTTGTATGATAGCTTTATTTTTTTACCATCACAAATCCAAAGTTTGAGTGCTAAGACAAGGTTACGAGACGCCTTTGAAAGCGCCACAAGGCTCCATCTGTTCAAAGGGCGCGTATGTGGACCCTAACCATAAGTGGTCAGATGGTTTTTCTCTTTGTAAACCTACTCAAAATGTGACCTGTTCAGAGAAATTAGGTACCCCAGCCTTAATCGCATTAACGACAATATCATTTTTGAATATACAGTAATATTAACACCAGGATAGATAAAAGTCATTGTCGCTCTGCAGCCGTGGGAAGGTTGAATGTATCTAAGCCAGTCTTGTCTGTGTCTGACCTCCATTAGGCTTTAGAAGGGACTGTGACACTTGCTCCCTTCAGAGTAATAGCAGCCACATGTATCGCAGTTTAAAGCTGTCACACCAACATTACGGCCATATATCCCCTTTACCTTTGCATTCGACCCCAGTTCTATCTCTTTTATCTGCACCGTAACCTAAATGCAGAAGTTTAGGATTAAAAACGAGACTATATATCTTGCCCTATGGAGAAAAGTACAGAAAGCGCATACCAACTTAAAGTAACTATTGGACAGTCATTGTACCCATATTGTTGTACCATAAATTATGTGTGAAAAAAGTTAGATACGAAACTTAATAACTGTACAATGTAGAGTTTGGTAACTATTTAAACTTCTGTTTTAAACATCCATCTGACATATAATCAAACTGAAAGCTTGAACTCATCACTATAGCATGTATGTTTGGTCTCTCATTTTTTGAAAAAGAGAGAGGACCACTCTTTCTCTGCCCATCAGCTCTCAGCCCAATGTGTTAAATCGTGACCCTCAGGCCTCTTTTAGGCAATCATACAAAAGATAAAATGCTTTCATAATGACTCAAAGAAGTTCATTTTGTCTTGATTTAAAATGTTTTTGTGCTTTTGAAATCTAAAAGCACAAGACCCCAAGATGAGGTCTGATTTGTGCACAAAATTATACCTACAAGACTCTTTCTGCTGGGACAAAATAATCTATTAATATGAAACAAGTTGAGCACCATTGCCATTAGTCAAGTGCGAGGTTTAACTGATGCAATTGAGAGTTTTCCCATATTGGGCAAGAAACAGTAGTCACCATGTCGTTATGAAGTACTTGTACACAGTCTATTCTTACTCCACTGATGAGTAAGCTTCCTTTTACTTATTATTATTGACTCATATAACCATTATTTCTGATGCTAAAAATACAGATCTGTCAGCGCAGTTCCCAGAAAATTTGAATAATACACAAAGTCTGGGGGTGTGGTTGAAATGTGTGGCTAAAAATGTACCCCAACGTGACAAGTCTTTGTGTTATTGTGATGAACAACTGCGCTCAGCTGGGGATTTCTGGGAATGTGGTTAATACTGTGAGTTTTAGAATGATGGAAATAAGACTAGCTCTTGCCATAGTGGTTATCATTTCAAAACTAGTATGATATATTTTTAAATGGTGGGAAAAGGGTCCTCAATATCTTGAAACTGGAAGATTCTTCAAATCTGCAGGATTATACCATTGTTATTCTGTTGCCGATGTGCCTCTTAAAGCTTGGGTACCTAACTTTTTTCTTTCACAAATCTTACATGAACAGAAATGGTTGAAGAGTAAAAGCAAAATGGTTTGAACAAATCGGACTAAAGCAGGTTTCCTTAACCATAATTTAAAACCTTTTATCATTTGCATATTTGTAATGTTGAGCGAGGATGGATTTTTTTTTTTTGTATTTTTATGTGATTTGAAAGTTAGGTAGCCCAGTTTTTAGTGTAGAAGTCATTAGATTCTATGCTATAATCGTACATTAACAGTTTGGCTTCTTTTTTTTCCTAGAGACAATAGCGTCTTTTTGGCCCACTCACCAGTGTTGCCAACTTAGCGACTTTGTCGCTAGATTTAGCGACTTTTCAGACCCTATAGCGACTTTTTTTCAAAAAAGCGACTAGCGACAGATCTAGACAAAGCATTAAAATCATTAAATGTTGTTAATGTTGAAATTATTTTTGTACATTTGTAGTTCTAAACATATTTAGGGTGTTTTTTACTCACTTTTGTCTCTCCCACGACGTTATTCCTCTCTCCTACAGCGTCCGTTACAGTTATTTGCAAATTGCAAATTATGCAAATTAGGCGATGACGTCATTTAGCGACTTCTAGCGACTTTTGGGACAGCCAATGGCTACTTTCCTTACTGAGGAGTTGGCAACACTGCCACTCACTCCTCATAGAGAATCGGTTACGCGCAGACAGAGGGAGCCCTCACACCGCTGCGCACATGCACTTAATGCACCTTTTAAAATGCTTTCATTTGGGACAAAACGACAAGTCAACAATAACACACAACTTCAACATCCTGTGATCCCGAAAATGTTGTGTTTTGTCTCTTTGAAGCTTTTCTGAAGAACTCGTAGCATATATTTATTTATTATTGCAAAAAAATTGGGCTCGTGTCCCCCAATTCTTCGTATCTCCGCTATTCCCACAACTAGTTTCACGTGGTTCATCTGTAAAGGATTGTCCTTTTATGAGTTATCTTAGCTTTTAAACTGCTCTGCCCTTTCAGTTTCTTCCTGCCTTTACTTTGAAGGAGTGCTCTTGGCACTTCCGATGGCCCCCGTGCGCTCTCTTGTTTCCAGGCAGGCAGAGCGCAGCCATACGGAGGGATTTGGTTATGTCCCGCTGAAGAAGAGGAGGAGAAGGGGGAGGCGGGGGCAACAGCCCGAAACAACGGGAACTGAGTGGGATTTTTTGGTGAAGAAGGAAGGAAGCGGAGGAGAGTTGAACGTATAAATTTGGAGTTGGAGCGTTTGGCTTCGTTACGCACAGACCCTCGCGTCTGTCTGTGTTTATTCTCGCTATTAGAGCGACAAAACCTGCCTCTCCCTGTTGCAGAAGAACAGCTCGTGTTGTCCAATGAATGGAGTTGCTTTTTGCCTTGTTGGAATACCACCCTACACTGAGAACCACGTAAGTATTGCTCCCTGCACCCGCTATGATTCTGTGTTATTACCTGCACGTTTTTGTGTTGGGACAGGCTACGCTTCACCGGGGCTGGTCAGAGAGCGTGATTTCCTAAGAGGATTATCATTAGTTTACATAGCGACTGTGTACACACAATGAACTATATTGCGCGAGGAGCTAATCAAAGTTTGTGTGCTGCTTTTTGCTTGTTGCGTGTGGACGCTCTCTCGTGCCATTTATTTGAGCTCACGCTACTCCCATAAACTCGTACTTGTCTTTACGCGTGGGCTGCTGCAGTCTTTTGTCCGCATCAGGCTGCTGTCAGACCAAAGCAGAGTCAGGACGTCCCAAACTCAGACGCTGTGAGGAGGCGACATCAGAAGTTGTTGTGCCTGTGTGCCATCTGTGCGTCTTTGTCAGCTCTTCCAAACACACATGGTTGGGCAGTAAACTAACTTCAGAAAAACAGTTGAACTTTGCCTTTTTAAACGGAACAATAATACATTTCAAAGCAGTGGAGTTGTGTGGTTTTCCCAGTTCTCATTTTGAATACAGTTTATCCCGCTCATTTCACGCTAAATATCCAGGTATGTATTTAATTGTAAGAGTGTGACTCCAGGAATGCACCATGATGAGCATGGTGTGTCATTGTAGAGTCATGAGGTGGATGTCATTGGGGCGGAGGTCTCTGGTTTGGTATGGGAGCATATGTTATGGGCTCAGCGTGTGAATTCCCCTGCCTGACCCTGTCTACTGTATGAATGTAGGATTGTTTGTCTATACGGCCGTTGGCATAATGGCCTTTGTTCTGCAATATTGCTTTGAGCTGCTCCCACCAGTGCTGGTCACTGTACAGTTGCTATAGGGTAAAAAGTATAGGCTGCAAATGAAAAATTGCATTGTCAAATATTAACTGTGAAACACTAGAAGCTCAGTTATGAATCCAGTGTAGTCTACCCCTGTTTCCATGTCCACCTGTCATGTTAAAACATGTCGATGGATGATATATTGATGTACTGCGATAAACTATGATATTGAAACGATTTTGTGCCACTGGTGGAAGGAGAATACCTGTGGACCAACTTAAAGTCATAAGTGGACACTTCTAAGCTGTAAATGCTTAAGCAATCCACTCAAATTGTTACAAAGAAAGTGGCAAGTTCATTCTCACGTAATCATTTCTTATGTACTTTTATAATTTGTATGTTGTTCTCTGATGCACACTACTTTTGCACCAGCATTCCATGTTGCATTTTTTGCTGCAAATGAACAATAAATTGAATCTTGAAGATGACTCCACTTAGCCAACTTACAAGTCTTATCTGTGGAGATGCAAATCTGTTCCCAATAATAATGTGTGTTTCCATGGTAAGTCGGAGTAATAGAAAGACTTTGATTTCATTTGATTCAACTTCTGTTAATGCAATTTTGTGCTACATTCTGTGGGACGACAAAAGGTTCTCTTATGGCACACCCTCCAATAAATGAGTTTGAGAGCATTCAAGAACAATGCCAAAAGAATACTATGGAAGCATTAGTATAGGCAAACACTGTAAGGAAATATCTATTGGCATTATAGATGTACAAGATATCTTTTTCAGAGGCATTTCTTGACCCACAGCCTGTGGACTCTGAATCAAGACTGTCCATCTACCGCAACCAATTTCTAATTTTGAACTCATAATTACTCTAATTGGCTGCATCTTCAAAGGGAATCTCTCCAGCGTTTGAGCCCAAACCACATCACTTTCCCACAGTTTAATGTTCAGAGGGTGTTGTCAGTTGTAGAACAAAAATACATGTTGATATCTTGGTGCAGATTGGTCTAATCTCTTTCTCAACAGGTCACAACGTAAAAAAAACAAAAAAAAACATGCTTCTTATCAGGCGTCGCAATATTGTCTTAGTGCAAGGCTATTGTGACATAGTGTTAGTACTGTAATGTGTATTTGGATTGGCTTTTTTGTCATTTTGTTGATGAAAGAAAACATAAGTACCATTTAGGCACCATTGCATAACTTCCATCTTCTATTAAAATTTTTCCGCTTGAACCGAAAGTTTCATACTGTTAATTTAACCTTCTCCATTAACCATAGAAAATGGAGAAAATTCAACTTACAAGTTCACGTTTTGAACTTTGTAACTTCCTCATGCTCATCATCCCAAGGTGTTCCCAGTCCAGCTTCACTCTTTACCCTCTAGAATGACTTACTAATTTTAAGACATATTTTGGATGATGGACGGACCGGTGCAGTGATGCGATTGCTGTATTGGACTGACTATTGTGGTCAAGAGCGGAGCAGCGTCTGCAGTCAGAGCTGTATCAGACTGTTGTGGTGAAGAGGGGGCTGAGTCACAAGTCAAAGTTGTCAAATTGCCGGTCAATCTACGTCCCCTCCCTCACCTACGGTCATGAGCTTTTGGAAATGATCAAAAGGACAAAATCGCTTGGTCAAACGGGAGGAGCTCGGAGTGGAGCCGCTGCTTGATTCGCATCGAGTGAAGCCTGTTGAGGTGGCTCAAGCATTTGCTTTAGATGCCGCCCTGGACGCCTCCCTGGAGAGATGCCAGGAACTAGTTATATGGATTGCATAATTAAATTTGTTGTGGTTTGAAAGTCAGGTACCCCAGCTTTAAATCTGTTTAAAATCCTACTATACAGCACTTTTTATCCTTCCTTTTATATTCTCCCCTGCAAAGATGTTAACATTTCCTCCTCGCGGTGGGCTTATAATTGGGCTATTTTGGTTCTATGTTACCTTAATAGCTGGTTGCCTTGAAGCATGTTTAATTCCTCTTTTATCTTTTTGATTTTAGGCTCGTAACAAACGTATAAACCCCACACAGCCGGTAGTAAGTGCACTGGAAACCGCTGCGTTTAAGCCCGCAAAATTGCCCTCCTTAATCAACACTAGCAAATAAAACGTACCTATACACTTTATAGTCGTCTTTTTCTTTTGCAGTGCTGGGTCCAGACTTTTCCACACTGGACCCTTGACCCGGGATATTTTAACAACGACCCACCAAATTTAATTTATAGTGTCATTCTGCAAACTAATTCCACCTGTCTTTGCACTGTGTTTCTAGATGAAAAGCAAGATGGGATAAATAATGACTGTTCAGTTGAATGAGGAGTCATTGTTGAGTATTTAACCCATTATCTTAAGATTGTGTGGTCGACTAAAGCAACGCTGTGGGTGTGGCAATAAATCAACACAACATATCTGATCCAAACTCACTCACACTCGCAAGACACAGCTGCATAACTATTTCTAAAGCTCCATTGTGTAACTTGTAAGCCAAAAATAGGATGTAGTAAGGGCAAGTTTTGTATATTTAGGTTTTCATTATTGGTGTAGATACGTGGTTGAAAACACGTGTTTCCTCACTATAAGCAGGCTTGCATCTCAATTGGTTTAATGGGAATGTTGTTTGCTGTAATCTTCTACAGGAGAATGTTCCATCATGTGGTTTTAACTTTGTATTTCCATTGAATTATGCAGCTGATTTTAATAGCAACAGCTGCTATACAGTGTTGCTTTGAAATACCAGGAAACATTACAACAAACAAATTTATTGGTGCCCGTTTTCTCACATATCAGAATCTCCTTAACTGCAGCCAAACATATCAATTGCTACTGGAGAAATTAACACATCCTCAACCAACTTCAAGCCAGAGCGGAGACACAGTTGATGCAATGTGGCTCAAAATCACTCAGTCCAATGTAATTAAACCCAATTTGTCAGGTTGGCTCCAAGTAAATCTATTTTTGCAGTTTTCGGAGCGGTGGAGGTCTGGATGACGCTGTCCTAATGGCTTCCACCGGGACTGCACTGTAATAACGTTAGCGCCCGCTCCTAATGTTGTGCAGGCAGATCAATAGGGCCAGAGGGTGGGGCAAAAATGAGCCAGGATAAAAGCTGCAGTTTCTTCCCCCACGTGATGCTGACTGTATTGGTAACAGGAAACATGAGAGTGCTGTTATGAACGTCTTGAGATGGAAGCGGTCGATGATGCAGCCGGCTTTAGCTCAGCGTTCAAATGAGGATCGCATTGTGGCTTGTGCATGACTTTGTTTTTTTTTTACATAATGGCTGAATGGCAGTCTGGTTCCTGGCAGAGGAGGGTAGGGTTACAGCCTGCTGCGTGGACGCAAAATACACAATTGGTATAACGTTTAAAGCTGGGGTACCTAACTTTTTTCTTCTTCTTAAATAGGACATGTTTGTCTCAACAGAAAGAATTGAGCTTGTACAATGTTCTGAACAAATCAGACCACGATATGCTGTCTTCATTTTATTAGAAAACATGTTATCTTTTGCATGCTTGTAAGCCCCATGAATCACTATTTGACTATTTGAGTGAGAGTGGTCTAATTACTTTCACTTTACTGTCTGAAAAAGCTGATCTAAATATGTGACAGAGGCCACACATAGATGCATGTGAAAACTAGTGATGGGACCAAATTGTTTTGAGAGCTCTAGTCTACAGCAGTTAGATCGATTTTTATTACAGACTTAGAAGCTTAGCACTTCAGTTTCAGTCTTCTTTCAAAAGCTGTTGGGTGGGAAGTGTACTCTGTGGTTAGAAATTGGACTTGGAAACATAAATCATCATAAATAGGATAACACAGAATGAACCAACAAGAATGGCCGCAAACAACAGTAGAAATGTATCTAATTGGAAAGAGCAGACAGACTGAATTTTGTCCATCACATACTTGGTGTTTGGTATGTGTTTATTGCTTTATGTAATATAAGAAAACGTTGAGAAAACATAACTTTACAAAATATGATACCTTAAGTACCCGTTTTAGTTGGTCTAAGGCACAGCTTGCCTCTTTTGCCTCTCAACAATTACTTCCCTGTCCACACTGTCTCTCTTCATCTCCTTAGTTTTTTCCAAATCATCTCACTCTCCCTTGTTTACAACCATTCTCCAATCACCCATTAAACTTTCATTACAAACGCTTTAGGGATGAAAATGGGATTGAGAGTGAATGGAA